GAATTTTGTGCCAATTTTGTGAATACTCACTTATAATTGGTCAATTTTTACCATACACCTTACGTTACTGTTATGTCAACTTGTGAAGACCTTTCCGAGCGAATGTTGTATATCATGATACGCGTGGTCTCATCAACGCTAGGCTGATACATATATCACGCTCGCGATTGGAAATTGGTAGAGAAACAAATTGACGATGGAAAATATAGTGTAATGTGTAAGTCAAAAGGGGATTTGCTTCTATTTTAAAAACAAATTGAGTTTGATCGTACTCTGTACAAGCAGATTATTTATCGAGTTTTCATAGTATAAAGATATAGTATTTTTACACACAACAACGTAAAACAAAAAATTATATATAAAATTTAATTAACTAAATTATATATACAGGATATTCATAAACTTTCTTGACACAATTCGTAGGAAAGTAGAATGGATTAAACAGAACAGAAAAGTTATATATCATTTTACGAAATTCGCAATAGTTTTCGAGTAATTAATTATTGTATCTGAGCAGATAAGCGCTCGCGCCGGGCGCAACCGTTAAAAACGAATAGCGACTTGCTGCGTCCCTCCGCCCATAGCTACGTGATGCAGTGTATAATTTTTCAAATGTTAATGTTATAATTTTTAGTACCCAGAATCGAAGAACATTCGAGTCTTGGAGCACAACGAAACAATATGAACATCGGTGACGTTGCATAGAGGATGAGACATATAGGGTGACGCAATGCACGTCAATTATGACGCGCTGAACATTGTGAGTTTTTGATATAACTGGGACAACTACATATATAATCATCGAGAACGAGACACATAATGTAATGAGTTAATCAAAAGGAGATTTGCTTCAACTGTGCAGACAAATTGTGTTTTATTATGCTTCTTATCCTCTATGGAAGCAAAAAATTCATCGAGTAATCATAGTGAATAGGAATCTTAAACATCCATAGGTATCTTTACACAACCATATATACAAAATTATATAGTATATATATAGTCACAATATATATCAAAATATTCTCCATGAATTATATGTATTCGACATTTTCTGTTGAAAATTGGGACAAACATTTTGATTGTTCTAACATAGTAGAGAGTAGGTTAAATATTTAAATAATGTTATCCGAAAATTCGTTGATTATTTTAGATGACAAGAGGATATACAGAGGTTTCCAAGATTTGTCTCTGCAACGTTCGTAGAAATGTAGATCGATTTGAAATGAACATGAAAGTTCCATATTGTTTTGTAATTCCCCGTATGTATGGAAGGAAAGTAGTGATGAAATTTCGTTCCTTTGCCTTTCTTTAGAGTTGTTCAGTCCGTGTGTTTTGATGTCTTTTGGTTTGATGTTTCCTGAATGCTTTGTTTATCTGTGTTACCGTGTAACCATTATTTTGAAGAGTGTTCCTGAGATACTTGAGATCGCTTTGGATGCTGTTCTTCTCACAGATGAATAATGCTCTGTATATTAGCGAATCGATGATCGATTGTTTTTGAGCTGGCTGATGGTGTGATTGGGCATGGAGATATCGTTTGGTGTATGTAGGTTTCCTGAAAACTTGGTGATCTAAAGAGCCATCTGTTCTTCTTATGACTAGGACATCCAAGAAAGGGAGTCTGTTGTTTTGTTCGACTACCATTGTGAAGATAATATTGAAATGTTTTGTATTGAGCGCATGTAGGAATTCCTGATGTTTTTCTTTCACGTGATGCCAGAAGACGAAAGTGTCATCTACATATCGGAGCCATGGTCGGGGTTTCAATTTTCCACTTTTGGATGACTTGAGTTTCGAAATGTGCCATGAAGATGTTAGCTATGACTGAGGAGATTTGGGATCCCATGGCTGCACCCGAAATTTGTTTATAGAATTAATTATTGTAACTGAAATATGTATTGGTCAGGCAGTGTTCGATTAGGGATATAAGATCGAAAGGGACTTGTTTTGAGTTCTTGATTATTTTTATAATATCTGGAATTGGGATCTGCATGAATAAGCATTATATTTCGAAACTTACCAGAATGTCGTTTGGTTGAAGTTGGAATCCTTTTATCTTCTTTATGTAATGCGTCGAGTTTCTGAGTGTAAGTATTCTTTTTGCTGACAGGTTTCAGTTTATTAATTAAAAAGCGTAACACTTGGTATGTCGGGGAGTTTATGTCGCTGACTATATGTCTGAGTAGTATGTCGGTTTTGTGGACTTTGAGCAGGCTGTATAGTCTTGGATGTGTTACGTTTTTTGGGATTAGGGTAGTTTTTGTTTTGTCTGGGAGAGTACTGTTCTTTATAAGTTTCGTTGTTTGGGCTTTTAAGAATTGGGTAGGGTCTTTTTTCAGTTTCTGTTAGGTATCGTCCGTAAGGAGTTCCTGTATTTTCTTGTCATAGTCTTCTCCGTTCATTTTTACTATTGTGTTATTTTCGTCCGTTGAAAGGATGATGATATCCTGGTTTAGTTGTCTTAGAGCGTACCGTTCTGGTCTAGTCAGGTTCTGTTTTGGTAGTTTGAATTTCTGAGATATGTTGGTTGTCAACCTACGGATATTGTTAGATTGTTCTTGTGGGAGTAGAAACAGGATTCTATCTAATTGATTATTTTTTCCTTTGATATTTTAGTTAGAGCGATTGCAATGTTTGATCCTTTGTGGAGGGTGGAAATGGTTTCTGTGGAGAAAGCTTTGTTAGATGGGTTTTTTACTGTTTTTGGTGGAGGAGATGTAACTGCTTTTTGTGATGTTAGTTTCTGATACTTTTCCATCTGTCGTCGGGATGACTGTACCCAAGTGTTTTGAGATTGTTTGTACGTTGCATGTGGGCCAATCTGGTCATAAGTCTGGTCGAAGGATTGAGACTAAGGAAAGGTGGAGTTGGAAAAGTTTTTGGGAGATTTTACTAACTTTCATTTTTGTGTATGGGATGCGTTTCTTTACTAGCAAAGCTGCGGTTTTCAGCAGAGTACTGTTTGCCTTCTTCGTGCCGAGATGGTTTTTTAGTTATAGGTACTTTGGGACAATGTTGTTGTCCCTGCATCTTTTTAGAAAGACTAGTCTTGAAAGGTTTTTTGGTAAGAATGGTATTAGTTGCCTAAAAGAGATGATTTTAGCAAGAATACTCACTCCATAGAAGTACTTCATTTGATTTTTAGGCTTTTGCGGTTTCCATACATATTAGATTTGGATTCCGGGTTTGAGCCGCATGGATTCCTCTTTGTTTGATTCTGACGTTTCGCGAAAATTTCAGTCCGCTTCATTAGGGAAGAAGGATCCGTTGCCGAGTTGCTCCTGAGAAATCTTCCTCTATATGGTAGTTATCATAGGGGGACAGGGGGGAGGAGCTAAGAAGGTCGGATGTTAGCAGGGGGGATGATGGTGGGAAATTTGTTGTCTGTCATGTTTTGGAAACCGGGAAACCGAGATTGCCAGTTTGGGCTGATTTTTAGTCTATTATCCCTGTTGAGATTGTTAGAGTCTATAGAGTCCACTGCTGCTATGGCAAAGTGTACATAGAAGAAACCGGAAGGGTGGTGAGCACACATATAATGGAACATCAAAACACAGTTAAACTGAAAAATGTAACGCAGTCAGCATTAGCGGAACACAATCTAGAAAGCGCACAAATAATCCGCTTCAAGGAAATAATAGTAGTGGTCAAAACCAACAACTAATTTCTTAGGAAATACAGAGAATCCTTGGAAATTCGAAAGCACCCTAACAATCTCAACAGGGATAATGGACAAAAGATTAGTCAAATCTGGCAACTTGTCCTCCCAATTAACCCTTCCCAATTTCCGGTCTCCTCCATCCCTGCTCGCCACTATGGAAACTACTATAAAAAGGAAGATCTCTCAGGATCAACTCGGTATCGAGTCGTTGCTCCCTGGTGAAGCGGACTGAAATTTTCGCGAAAAGTCGGAATTAAACATAAATGAATCCACGCAACTCAAAACCGGAAACCAAATCTAATATTAATGGACACCGCTAAAGTCTACAAAATCAAATTAAAATATATTTTTTTCTGAAGGTGAGTAGTTATAGTATTTTGTTTATTACGCATTCTTATAATGTGACAAGAAAGCTTTTCCTTTACTTACTGTTAATCGTGGAAAATACTGCAACAATAGAGGCGATATATAACGGATATTATTATACGATCGTATATATAATTTCGTCCAATACAGTATGAAATACACTTTGACAAAATCGGAAAAGAAAAACATAATACATAATTACTAACGAATGTTTACTATTAAAAAATCTACATTTTATTGCCGACTATGATTAAACTTTTATTTTATTTACAATTGCAGATGATAACTCGGGAGACGCTAACAGTTCCAAGTTTGTTTTCATATTTTTTAATATATTTTGATAATTTTGATAATTTGGAAAAATTGATATTAGCGAGTTATAATTATTGAGTACAAAGCACAGTTTGAAGAAACTAATCTACATATAATATTGAGATTACTATCATCACCTATCACTTGCAGAACACGAACAATGAAGTATACATTTATAAGACAAATACATACTACTTAGTTATAAGCATAGAATGATCGTAGCTGCATATAATATTGCCTATAATGATGGTATAGAATGTGGCAAATTGTAAAATTTAAAGAAACTATATATATATATATATATATATATATATATATATATATATATGGCCAGCATTCTGTTACCTCATATTCAACATATTTTACATATTTTGAAAAAATGAGAAACTATATACTAACACACTTTATACTAAGAAATTATATACTGACAAATGAGCAAACTATGTTTTAACAAAAATACTATTAATTTATGACTGAATATATACCTCAGTAAAAAATTTATAATTTATTCTCGAATATTATTAAAAATTGAGTATCATCAGCTATACCAAAATAAAAATAGGATTAAACAATATATAACATATAACAAGCCATATAACAATATATAACATATAACAATATATAACATTCAGCCGTCGACTGGTTCGGTTATGTGATTTAAATTTATGAATACATAATAAAATGCGCATTTCGGTAATAAAGTCCACCAGTCGTATAATTTCTATGTGGCATATAACCGCGGAATTTATTTTCTCTGTATAATCGATTTCTATTTATACCTGTTTTTATTTCTATCTTGTTTACATTCTCTTGCACTGTATTTTCCGAATCAGCGGTTAAAAGTAAAGGACACTCTTGCGCTACTATAGCTTCTATAGAATCAAACCATGTTCCTATGAAAAGACATTCTATTTCAAACAGTATGATCACGTTCGGTTTCTCAAATGAATCTAAGTGTACAAAGTCATGATACGGTCCTGATACGCTTCTAACAAAAATTTGCTGTTTATAACGTGCGCACATAGAACACACAGAGCCTAGGTCGCTCGATTCAAATTTTAACGAGTTTATAAATACAATATACAGTTCCTTTGTTCTGCTAAATAAATGTAAGAAAATATGCCACATTTTTAAACATAATATATTTACTGTTTTGTTTACATCTATAACATGAATGATATATTTAAGTCTATTCGTTGAAAGAGATATTAAATTTGATTCCTGCAACGCATAATATAACGTCAGCGGGCCGGATGTATAATCAGAATATATATATTGATCTATTGACCAGTAGATATTTGGAACAGAAGTTTTTAATTTTATCGTATCAACAGATAAATGATAATTTATGCGTACATAGTTGCTAATAAATGTAACAGTGTCATCATATGATCTTGCTTCAGGAAATTCGGAGAACTTATATCTGTCTTTATGTAAAATATGTTCCATATAGCCGTTTATATGGTTGATATTCATTTCCAATAATAGCAACAAATCATCGCAGCACTTCTTATGAATTAGAATATTAACTAATAGTTGGTGATCATCACAAAAATTCGCTGAATAACAAGTGTTGCAGAGCTTTACGCTTGCCTGTCGGAAACACACACAACACGATTTTGCGCACATTATCATCTCAATTTCGTATTGTTGTATGTAACGTGGATACAGATTAGATATTACTTGATGTAAAATTCTTTTCCGTGATTCTATCCACTCTTCCAAGCTAGCATACATATTCCAGAACGACGTTTCTGTTATTACCCTTGCTATAATTGTGCAGATCTTTGAATGTGAGTTTCTGTGTATCGCCTTATGCTCCTCGGAACAGTAAGAAATCATGTAGCACCGATTACACGTTATCAAGTCTTTCTTGCGCTGTTTGCAAACATGACAAACGTTTGGATTGAAAAACTGATTATATTTGTCTTCTGTATATGGTCCATAAAAAGTTAGTACTCGCCGGCCACTCATCGCAATACGTTTTAGTAATTATCGCTTATGAGTAGTTTGTTGTAATATTTATTTCAAAATAATGCGCGTAGCTCGACAACTTACGGAATGTAACAGAAATATGTATACGTGTTATATATAGATATTTCATCGGTAACAGTACACACAACATTAATAACAATGTACAAGTATGTTTGTATGTATCGAAAACATTGTAGACAAGATAAATTGTAACTGTTGAGATGACGAATTAAAAGTATTCGTTAGTAGAGAGAAACAATATTAAAATGTGGTACATTACTTATGAATATCTACTTTAAAACATTCAAAACAAAATACAAAGTTTATAATAAAAAATTATACTTTGCCAATAAATATATTTCAATGTTAGCTAATAAATATATTATAATCCATGACTACTATAAAGGTACATTATGTAAGTCCTAAGAACACCGTTAAAGCCGTTACGATAAGCGCGTGCCGCTCAATCGTCAAATTTAAGGAATGATTGATATGGTCAGTACATAGGTGGTCAGTACATAGATCGCTTCAGACTAAAAGATGTTTTTTTTTAACGAATTATTTCACTTCAAGTGCCTTTTATAGCACAACACTGAAGTACTTAAAGTTTTGTCCAAAATTACAACAAATTTACTAAAATATCTTCCTTGATAAACTTTGTAATGTATTTTGTGTCTTTTAAAGTAGATTTTCATAATAGGCGTATCATATTTACTATATTGTTATGTATAATGAAGAATTGTATATAATTATATAAGCAGCATCATGCAGCCATGTACGTAAAATGTCGTATAAAATTATATATAATCATATAACGAACTAAATATAATTTTATACACTTCTATCTAATTTTATACAGTTATATATAATTGTATATAAAAAAGTTTTTATATAACTAACAGTTAGATAATTGAAGTGTATTTTAAGTATTGTCTTGTCAAAAGTAAACTCAAAAGTATATTTGCATTTTACTTAGAAAACACATCATAGTATTTAAATAACCCAAAAATTTACCTAATTCAATTAATTTAAATAAATTTTAAGTTTATGTGTATAATTGTTAACACATTTTATAATACTTTATGTAATTCCAAAAAAGTATAAACAGATTTTCATGAAAGAACCGTACGCAGATTCTTTAGATCTTTCAGATCCAACAAATACAGAAGTTAGGAAGTTCAGGTCAAAGATTGTGTTAAAATCCGACTCGGAGAACATCAGATATGTTAAAGTCTTCACACCTAAATTGTAGTAACCGTAACGTAACACGTACCGTAAAAATTGATGAATCACATTGAATATTGTCGAATCGTAATGTTGCCAATTTTGTGAATACTCGCTTATAATTGGTAAATTTTTACCATACGCCTTACGTTATTGTTATGTCAACTTGTTTGTGAAGACCTTTACGATCGAACATTGCATATCGTGATGCGTGGTGTCTCATCACCGCTAGGCTGGTACGTATATCACGTTCGCGATTGGGAATTGGTGGAGAAACAAATTGACGATGGAAAATATAGTATAATGTGTTAATCAAAAGGAGGCTTGCTTCGATTTTAAAGACAAACTGAGTTTTATTGTACTTTATGGAAGCAGATTATTTTTCGAGTATTCGCAGTATAAAGGTATAGTATTTTTACACACAACAACATAAAATAAAAAGTTACATATGAAAATTTAATTAAGTAAATTATATATAGAGTTATACATATATTATCATCGAGAACGGGACACGCCTTTATAGAAATATTATACTAAGAATCATTGATAATTATTTATTTTCAGTAAAAATACTAGACAATAAGTAATTATCAATAATTTTTAGTATGATATTTCTATAAGGGCATAATGTAATGTGTTAATCAAAAGGAAATTTGCTTCAATTGTGCAGACAAATTGTGTTTTATTATGCTTCTTATCCTCGGTGGAAGCAGATAATTCATCGAGTAATTATAGTGAATAGGAATCTTAAACATCCATAGGCATCTTTACACAACCATATATACAAAATTATATAATATATACATAGTCACAATATATATCAAAATGTTCTCCATGAATTATATGTATTCGACATTTTCTGTTGAAAATTGGGACAAACATTTTGTTTGTCCTAACATAGTAGAGAGTAGGTTAAATATTTAAATAATGTTACCCGAAAATTCGTTCATTATTCTAGATGATAAGAGGATATATAGAGGTTTCCAAGATTTGTCTCCGCAACGTTCGTAGAAACGTAGATCGATTTGAAATGAACATGAAAGTTCCATACTGTTTTGTGATATTTACAATAAATCTCAAGGTACTCATTATGGAAGATTGAAGAATGATTACACGCAATTGGCAGATGGGTTATTGTAAAAATGTAAGCTATCGTATGTTTGTACATTAAATCAAATGAATATTACATGTTTGTACATTAAATCCAATGTACATTAAATAATAAAAAATTCATTATTTTGCAAATAACTTCCTATAATTTTAGATATTAATGAAAAAGATCGTTATATATTTGCCCAGATAATAGCACAAAATTTTCAGAGATTGTTCTAGGTAATTCGGAGAATGAATGCCCGTAGAACGTCTCTAGAACGTCTGTTGCAGGTTTGTGCTGTATGAGTGTGTGCGATCATGCACTAATCTTCCTCGATTATTGTCTAAAAGTCCATGTGGTCAACTACAAAATGATAGAGGACTTTTATGTTCAGTTTGAATTAACGTATAAAGTATAAAACGGCGTACGGCGCCACAACAACTCATTTAACATATCGATATGATTCCTCACCAATATTCTTTAATTAATATTTTCATACTTATTACGAATATCGCAAAATGGTATAAAACTTTTATGTTCACCTCAGTATGTTCTATGTTCCAATAAACTTATTGAAAATAAATCAGTGACATCCTGTATGTTGGAATGTGCGACAACGCGTGTGTTAAATTTTCCTTCGGTTCTTGCAAGGATTTCTTTGGACATAATGAATTTTATTAAATTTAAGGAAATTTGTCTATTGGAATAGTCCAAATAATCTAATTTTTAATTCGATAAATACTATTGTTTGACATTACAATCAATTCAATTATATGATCTAAGGAAGAAGAAAATTTTGTATAATTTTCTTATTTTAAAATGGTTCAGTAATTCTATTCAAATAAGTTAAGAAATTTGACTTTCTTTTTATGTTATTGACAACCTGTCATTGTTATTACATCATCGTATGTGTATCCTTCTGAATCTGTGATATTTTATATAAATGTTCCATTATTTGATGATCGGTACGACTAACCATCCTTCGTACTGGTCTAGATTATTAGATTTTAAATGTGTAGAACTTAGTGATGCCGATTAGCTTCATCTGGTAGGCAGTTGTACTGAAAAAAATACTTGAAAATATATATTTGTGGGATATAAAATTTCTGTGAAATATAATTTATTTCTATACACTTATCCCCCACATTGCATTTTATTTCCAACAAATGAATATTAAAATATATTAGATTTGATTTTCGGGTTTGAGCCGCGTGGATTCATCTTTGATTCCGACATTTCGCAAAAATTTCAGTCCGCTTCACCAGAGAGGAACGACCCGATGGCGAGTTGCTCCTGAGAGGTCTTCTTTTATATGGTACTTGGCATATGGGAAGAGGAAAGGAGGTGACAAGAAGGTGGGGATGTTAGCAAGAGAGGATGGTGGTGAGAAATTTGTTGTCTGTCATGATTTGGAAATTGGGAGCATAGATTGTCAGATTGGACTAATCTTTTGTCCATTATCCCTGTTGAGATTGTTGGGGTATATAGAATCCTCTGCTCCTGTGGTAAAGTCTATATTGAAGAAACCGGAAGGATGGTGAACACACGTACAAAGGAACATCAAAAAGCAGTCAAACTGAAAAACGGAACGCAGTCAGCATTAGAGGAACACAATCTAGAAAGCGGACACAAAATGCGGTTCGACAAAGTAACAGTACTGGCCAGAACTAACAACTACTTCCCTAGGAAATACAGGGAATCTTTGGAAATTCAAAAGCACCTCAACAATCTCAACAGAGATAATGGACTAAAAATCAGTCCAATCAGACACCACGAAAGCCGAAAAAATCAAATTAAAATATATATTATATTATATATTAAAATATATTTTTTTCTCAATGTGACTAGTTGTAGTATTTTGTTTATTATGCATCCTTATAATGTGACCAGAAAGCTTTTCTATGCTACACTTACTGTTAATCGGAAAGCTTTTCTATGCTATACTTACTGTTAATCGGAAAATAGTGTAACAATAAGAGCGATATATATATAACGGATTTTATTAATACAATATTATTATATTATTTATACAATCATATATATACTTTTGTTCAATATTGTATGAACTACACTTTTACAAAATCAGGAAAAAAAACATAATATATATTTACTAACGAATGTGTACTATTAAAAGATCTATATTTTATCGTCTACTATAATTACACTCGTATATAATTTACAATTACAGGTTATAACTCGGAAATATTTCCAGGTTTGTTTCATATTTTTTAATATATTTTGACAATTTAAATCGAAAAAGTCGACTTTAGCGAGTTATAATTATTGATTACAAAGTACATTTTGAAAAATATGACCTACATAAAACTTTGAGATTATTATCATCACCTACAGCTTGCATAACACAAACAATGAAGTTGGGATATAAAACAAATACATAAAACTCAGTACAAAATTATCGTAGCTGTATATAATATTACCTATAATTATGGCATAGCATGTGACAAATTGTAAAATTTAAAGATACTATATATATATAGCCAGCATTCTATTACGTCATATACAACATATTTTATATATTTTGAATGATAAGAAACTATATACTAACAAACTGTATACTGACAAATCAGCAAACTATATTTTAACAAAAATATTATTAATTTATGACTAAATATACGCCTCAGTAAGAAATTTCTAATTTATTCTCGAATATTATTAAAAATTGAGTATCATCAACTATACCAAAATAAAAATAGAATCAAACAATATAGCCTTCAGCCGTTGACTGGGTCGATTATGTGATTTAAATTTATGAATACATAATAAAGTATGCATTTCGGTAATAAAATCCACCAGTCTTATAATTTCTATGTGGCATATAACCGCGGAATTTATTTTCTTTGTGTAATCGATTTCTGGTTGTACCTGTTTGTTTTTGTATCTTGTTTATATTTTCTATCACTGTATTTTTCGAATCAGCTGTTAAAAGTAACGGACACCCTTGCGCTATTATTGCTTCTATAGATTTAAACCATTTTCCTATGAAAAGCCATTCTATTTCAAACAGTACGATCACATTCGGATTTTCATATGAATTTAAGCGTACATAATCGTGATACGGTTCTGATATGCTTTTAACATACAGTTTCTGCCTATAGCGATTGCACCTACCACACACAAAGCCTAGGTCGTTCGATTCAAATTTTAACGAGTTTATAAATACAATATACAGTTCCTTCACATATGTAAAGAGATGTAAGAAAATATGCCACATTTTCAAACATATTATATCTATTTTGTTTATATCTATAACATGAATGATATATTTACGTGCAGTCCTTGAAGGAGATATTAAATTTGATTTCTGCAACGCATAATATAATGTCAGCGGGCCGGATGCATAATCAGAATATATATGTTGATCTATTGACCAGTAGATATTTGAGGTAAAAGCTTCTAATTTTATCCTATCAGCATATAAATTATTTGTGTGTACATAGTTGCTAATAAATGTAATAGTGTCATTATATGGTTTTGCATCAGGAAATTTGCAGAACTTATATCTGTCATTATATAAAATATGTTTCATATAGCCGTTTATATGGTTGATATTCATGTTCAATAATAGCAACAAATCATCGCAGCACTTCTCATGTAACCGACCAAATTCCAGTTGGTGTATATCACAAAAATTAGCTGAATAGCAAGTGTCGCAAGGCTTTATATTTGCCTGTCGGAAACACACAGAACATGATTTTGCGCATATTATCATTTCCGTTTCGTAGTGGGATGTGAAACGCGACAGACTAAACAGTATTTGTTGTAAAATTCCTTCCCGTGATTCTATCCATTCTTCCAAGCTACCATAGCTAACCCACAACGATTTGTCTGTTATTATCCTTGCTATAATTTTGCAGATCTCTGAGTGTGAGTTTCTATGTATCGCCTCATGTTCCGCGGAACAGTAAGAAATCATGTAGCATCGATTACACGTTATCAAGTATCTGCTGGGAAATTTGCAAACATGACAAACGTTTGGATTGAAGAACTGATTATATTTGTCTTCTATGTATGGTCCACGAAAAGTTAGTACTGGCCGGCCACTCATCGCAATACGTTTTAGTAATTATCGCTTATGAATAGTTTGTTTGTAATATTTATTTCAAAATAATGCGCGAAGCTCGACAACTTACGGAATGTAACAGAAATATATATACGTGTTATATATAGATATTTAATCGGTAACAGTACACACAACATTAATAACAATGTACAAGTATGTTTATATGTATCGAAAAAATTGTAGACAAGATAAATTGTAACTGTTGAGATGACGAACTATTCGTTAGTAGAGAGAAACAATATTAAAATGTGATACATTACTTATGAATATTTACTTTAAAATATTCAAAACAAAATACAAAGTTTATCAAGAAAGTTACTTTAGTAAATTTGTTGTAATTGCGAACAAAATTTTAGGTATTTCGGTAATGTATTATAAAGGTCACTCTAAGTTAACAAACCCATTAAAAAAATGTTCTTTGATCCGAATCGATCACCCATCCTTGTTTGGATCTAAGTAATCTTGTTTGGTTGCTAAGTACTATTCCTTAACTTTTTGAGGACCGGCTATTTTTTCATCGACTTTTTTATTTTGAGAGCTAGAACTTTTTTGTCAATGTCATTGGATTGAATGGTGAAAAATCTGACACTGCCGTCACGCCGATATAACGATTTCCGGCCCTCCAAAGGTTAAATTTTTGTGATCATGCAATACGCGATTATTATAATAGTTCTATGGATGTTCTTAGGACTTACATAATTTATCTTTTTATAGTATTCACAGAATATTATAATATATTTACGAGCAAACACTAAAATAACGGAACAACATTAAATTTCCGACAAATATTGTTATAATATATATTATTGAGCTAGTGATTGCATCACTGCTTTTAGATGTTCAACGAAAGATTAAAGCTTTTTAAATTTTTGAGTATTAAGTAATTTGCTTTAAAATATTTTCTGTTTAGATTATTCATAATAATATTTGGTTTAAAATCTGAAACTAATCTAATTGGTTCATTTTAACAAAATAACATAGCTTTTATTGAAAGAAATGATAATTTATATATAATTATATTATTTTAAACACAAATAAAATGCAAACCAAACTTAAACAAAGAATATTAAATGTTATATATTGTATATAACTATATATGTGTGAATTATATATATTTATAAAATTATATATAATAAAGAATTATGTTTTGCTAATAAATATATTTCAATATTTGCTAAATATTATAATAAATGTATTATAATATTATATAATAAATATATTATAATATTCTGTGACTATAAAGGCACATTATGTAAGTCCTAAAAACTCTGTTAAAGCCATTACGATTAGCGCGTGCCGCTCGATTGTCAAATTTAAGGAATACTTGGTATGATCAATACATAAATGGATACCGTTTCAGATTAAATGAAGTTGACTTTTTAACGGATTATTTCACTTTAAGTGACTTTTATAGCACAACACTGTAACATTTAATATGTTGTCCAAAATTATAACAAATTTTCTGAGGTATCTTCTTTGATAAACTTCGCGACTCATTTTGTGTCTTTTAAAGTAGGACGTATCATATTTGCCACATTGTTATATGTAATGAAGAATTATATATAATTGTATATAAGGAGCATTATGCAGCCTCGTACAAAATTGTGCGTATGTAAAATGTCGTGTAAAATTATATATAATCATATAACAAACTAAACATAGTTTTATACACTTTTATCTTAATTTTATACAGTTATTTATAATTGTATATAAAAAAGTTTTTATATAACTGACAGTTATGTAATTGAAGTGAATTTTAGGTATTGTCTTGTCAAAAGTAAACTCAAAAGTATATTTGCATGTTACATAAAAAAGGCCTCGCAGTATTTAAATAACCCAAATATTTCCCGAGTTCAATAAATTTAAATAAATTTTATGTTTGTGGGTATAATTGTTAACATATTTTATAATACTTTATGTAACTCCAAAAAAGTGTAAACAGATTTTGATGAAAAAAGCGTACGCTGATTCTTTAGATCCTTTAGACCCAACAAATACAGAAGTTAGGAAGTTCAGGTCAAAGATTGTGCTAAAATTTGACTCGGAGAACATCAAATGTGTTAAAACCTTCACACCGAAATTATAGTAGCGAAAATATAGTAGTAACGTAACATGTGCCGTAAACGTAAAAATTGATGAATCACATTCAATATTGTCGTATCGTTATTTGCAAATTTGGATTTTGCAAGGATTTCTTTGGATTCAATGAATTTTATTAAATTCAAGAAAGTTCATCTATTGAAATAAACCAAATGGACCATTTTTTTATTCACAAATACAAATGTTCGGCACTACAAATATTTCTATTATTTGATCTAAGGAAAAAAATTGTTTCACACAATTTCCTTATTCTGCTAAAGAAGTTCGATAATTCTATTCAAATAATCGTAAAAAACTAGACATTTCGTTTCTCGTGTTATTCACGATTTGTCTTTAGGTCATCGTCCACCTCATTTCGTAATATTTTTACAAATATTCCATTATTGATACAATCACCCAACCTTTTTATTGGGAACAGTCTGAGTTTTTAGACTTCAGCGATCGTGTAGAAATTAGTGATGTCAATTAGCTCTAACTAATTAACAGTTGCACTAAGAAAAATATTTGAAAATATATTTGTGGCATATAAAATTTATTCTTAAGAAATAAAGCTTATTTCTGTGATTACACTTTATCTCTCACAAATAAATTTTCAAATATATTATTTTCAGCATGACTAATTATAGCATTATGCTTATAATGCATCTTTTTAATATGTCCAGAAAGCTTTTTTATGCTGTACTTTCTGCTAATTGTTAAAAACATTGCAATAATAGGTGATATGTAACGCATATTATTGCACAATCGAATGTATACTATTAATTAGTCTATATTTTATTGGCAACTGTGGTTAT